GTTCCAAAAGTCTTCACTCGCAAAACAAATTCAAAGATTACATAATTAAGAGTTTCAAGATGGCGACTGCAGAGCAGGAAGCCCCAAGGGTGAGGCCCTGTGTGAGGGCACTGGTTGCATGCCCACGAAGCTGGCCCTACCTGCCACCCAGAGGACGTCAAGGAGCCAAAAGAGCTAAAGTACGTATCATTTAAGTAAAAAGACTTTCACCACATCTTTCCCTAACCTCACCATCCATTTCTTGCCCCTGAACCTGGTGGAATGGAGGAGGGTGGGAGAGAGGGTATCTATTAAAGAGCAGATTCTCCCTGCTTCCTAGGACAGTTTCCTCAGCTCAGGGTTTAGGCCTGAGCTGGGAGGAGGGAAAAGAGACTTGAATCAGCCTAGGCTTTAAAGCTGAGAATGAATCTCTATCACTAAAGTGAGTGTTTTGTCTGTCTGTCTATATCTATGTATGTGCTCGATGGACTGATGGATTTATTGATTGATGACTCAAAGTATCCAAAAAGCTGTGGGATCTACCTGAGATGCTGGCGAAAGGTGGAGAAGGAATAGCCAATTAAGCATGTTGGACAGTGATTGATGAAAAATAAAGCCACTTTCTTTCTGTACCCACAACAAGTTCAGATTGTTTCATATGGTTCATGCAATATAATAAATGGATAACCTGCATTAACCAAGTTGAACTCATCAGAAATTCCACCAGTAAATTCACTCAGGAGTAAGTGATAGTGCTATGAGAGAATCAAGTGATCCTAATAACTTGAATAATTTGAAATGGGCTGATTATTTCAATCACGATGGCATATTGCATTGATTACTTGGTGACCAACATGCTATTAATTGCTTGGATTGCCCAAAGATAACCCATCTTTTGTACAAATGAGCAATAATTATCTGATTGAACTAATCTAGACCAGGATATTATCCAAAATAATAAAATATAATTAATTCTACATTCAAATCTAAGTCTTGCCCCAAGAGATATGCTATGGGACTTTAAGGAATTATTTTGTGGATCAACCACATTTTCAGCTCCAGCCTTTGTCTTTTCTTTTATTAGAATTAGAATTCATGTTATCTTCATTAGCGGAATTGAGGCCTTAGAGGTCATTTTCACAAAAGTTTCTCTTTCTCTTCTGTTTACCTGATCTGCATATTTATTTAAAAACATTTAATTTAAACATGACCTCACTCAACCTAATTAACAAAACATAATTAACAATTAGATACAACCCAATTAACAAGACATGTTTTAAGTTATTTTTGGGTGGTGTGATTGCCCTAAAAATGTATTTGCTGTGTAGGTTTGTGTTTATGACACTTCTTTAAAGTGCAAAGCACTTGGAACACCTACAGTAATGCTCTGCGAAGAGGTCAGAGAAGAATTGGATGCGGGTGCAAGCTCTTCCTTTCTTAGGATGCCTTGTTCACTTAGCTGGTCTTCTTGGAAATATTAGAAACTGTGTGTCAGTTTTAAAGGGCATAAGCTTGTGTATCAAACTTCAGAAAATCTTATTACTTCGCAATAGATTTAGAAATAGTTGCTAATGACATTATAACTTTATCTACTTTTGATTGCCTAGGGCAAGGAGTCATCAGCTAGCAAGCAGCACAAATTTGTAGAAAGCCTTTGAAGCACACTTGCAGAAAATAAGTCTCTATAATGAATTGTATTGATCTTAGGATTAAAAGTAATATCTCATCCTTCGAATGACCTAACTGATAATAAAATATAGTTCAATGTTTCCTACAACAAGCTAAATATCAATATATTCAAAAGAAAACTACTGTAATTCTTCTGAGTGGCTGAAATCTATCTTGCACACTTGATCCCATCATTGACCAAAAAGCATTATGATCCATCAGTGGATTGAAATGGAAGAACAACTGACAATGTTGAGCTTTATCTGAAGCCCCGGGTTCCTGGAAAGTAGCAAGAATCGAAAAATCCCCCCCCACTGTTTGTCTTCCGAGAAATGACCACCTTGCTCTTGTGTGTTCTGAGGTAAGACCCACCTCTGCCCTTCCTCAGGAAACAGGACTCCTGTTTGCCTCTTTGGATTTCTTGGCCCCCTTCTTTTACTTTGAGACGTTCTCATTAACGAATGTCCTTCCTATTGCAGTAGCCTGATAGAATCATCTCCTTGATTGTCCAGTGCATTTTGTCTGTCACAGTTTCTTTACAAGAAAAAAAAAATGTTCAAGATCTTTGTTAATCCAGGGAAGTCAAATTGCAGTTGGAAAGTGATATGACTTTGAAATGAAGCAGGATTTTACGATCTGATCAAGTGGTTGAAAGCAATGTTTACAAGAAAGGAGTAGGTGGCTCCGTTCCACAAATGAGGTAGTTGGAGGGGAGCACTGACGGCTTTCCTGAGGCCCTGCCAGGAAAAACAGCAGCACCAGGTACAGAACTGTAGTTAATCGTAGCTGAAACAGCAATTTCCTTACCTCTGCTCTGTGGCTTCTCTGAGGGTGTTATTTAATCTCATTGGAATTTTGACCTTAATAATGATTATAGAATTAGATATAATTCCTTTCCTCATTAGTCTCCACGTTAATAAAAAGTGTGTATATGTGTGGGTGTGTTTGTGATTTGAACTGGCTTATGAGTGGCACAGTTCAAAATGATAGACCTTACTCATGAAAACTAACTCACCTGCAAGGATTAAGACGATGTAGCCATAAATTATGATTTTGTAGCAACTCATGCAAATATTTGCAATCTCAGTTACTCTCCTACTTACAAAGAAGGCTTGTAGTGGCGATAACAGTTATGAGAGGAAGCAGGGTTTCAGTAAACAGGACGGCTTTAATGTAAGCATTTTATACAATGCTAAAACTTCTTTTATATGAAGCGTATGCCAGTGTATGCATACCCATCTATGAATGTCTGGGGAAAAAATAAACTAAAAATAAAATAATTTCTTCACTTGCAGTATTTCTACCCCAGAGCTTCTGGACAGACAGGTGAGTGAATCTGACTCTAACATGGCAGATTCTAGTGGCAAACAGGAATTCTTATAAGGGAATAAACGCTGAAATTTGGATATGTCTAGAAATTTCATTTGTTTCAAAGATGATTTTGCTTCTAAATGTTCTTTATATTGCTAATGGCAACCTATTATAGCAGCCCACAAGAGGAAATGAAGCAGCTATCCCACAAGAGATGGGTTAAAGTGTGGTGCACATTCAGTGGCCTGCTCTGCAGCATACAAAAATTAGTTTGCAGGAAAAAATGGCATAGGAAGTTGTTTATGAAAAAAAAATTAAAAAATTGAAAAAGAAAAGTTGTTTATGATCCAGAGAAGAAAACCTGGCTACAAATAGCATAATTTACGCACATTCCCGAATAGAATGTAAGTTCAGTAAGTCAGAGTGTCCACCCTTTGTTACCGTATCCTAGTGCACTGTTTGGTATGCTAGTGTTTAAATTAACAAGTGAAAGTATACACAAAGTAATCACCTTAGTAAAATATATGTTATGCATAGAAAAACTAAAAATATACATTAAAATGTTAACTGTTTAATTCTGAGGAGATTATACATTTTTTTGCCAATTGGTATTTTTAATTTTTATAATGAGATTGTATTTCTTTTGCAAGTAGAACAAAAACAGTAAAATTAAGTTAAAAATATATTTTTTTCATTGGTTTTCCAGAGCAGTCCCCATAAAACAGCCTGTTTCTATATTTAGGCAGTTCACAGAGCTGGCTGGCTTTTTCTTAATCTTGGAAAGCAGCTTATTTTCTCAAATCCTTGCATTTTATCCAAGCTTATCCCTCAGTGAACAATCATGCACAGTCTGTTTCAGATTGTGATCAGTAAATGAAGCGAAAATAAAAATGAGGTAACTATTATATACTGTCTGTCACTCATATATTTCCCAGGTCACTGTGATTTCATTGTTCTTGAAATAAGAACCGAACCAGAAAACTTGTTGCTCACTGGAAGAAGGGAAGCTCGCAGAAACAGCTCTGTCTTCACAGTCTTCACAAGCCACTGATCTGAGAAGAAGAAAATTGGCTAAAATCCTTGGAGCTCATTCTGAATGCTCTAATAATTCTCTTGAGCAGTAAACATGTTTTAGACATTTATTGCTGAAAAATGGAGTGACCATGTTTCTAGACATTAACACAAGTTATGTTTGATTGGCCAAGAATTGTGCATGAATGCTGCTCAAGAGGAATGCCGAGTATATGTGTAGTGTGACAGAGACCCATCACTCTAACCAAGATCGCCAAAGGTATTCAGTGATGCGTTTAATTTAAAATTGTGAAGTGAATATGCCCAGGGGCAGCATTAGACATTCTGAATATTATTGGTCAAAGTAAAAGAAAAACAGCAATGTCTGAAGAACCAGAGAACTGGAAGAAGGGAACAGTGTAGATTTTTCTGTTCATTTGTAGATTTGTCCATTTTTTTTTTTTTGGTTATATCAATTAGACACAGAGTATGTCAGAATCAGAAGTGTTAATCCAGCTGTAGTACTCTGGTTAAATAATAGCTACAAATTCCCAAAGAACCACTTAGGATATTAATTTGTTCTGTATTTTGAAAATATAATTCCACAAAAATACTATCCCTCTGAAGTCATATTAAGCAAATAGTTCTAAAATTTATTTATGGTTTATCTATAATTAAATGGAAAAAGACTTTAAGTAAATTATATTAGCTCAATTTTGGACAGTTTCCTGGAAAAACATAATCCTTGGAAAGTTTTGAAAGAACTGGAAAAGTTGTTTAAGACAATACAATGAAGTATTCTAGAATTAGCCTGCCCATGAGAGAAGTCATGATAGAGAAAGAATTTGCCTTTAAATCTTTTTCACCAAAGAGGAAAATAAGTTTCTAGAACCCTATGTCATTGACAGCAAAGAACCAAACCAATGTTATTGGTAAACATGCAGGAAGTTATTTGTCTCTTCACCTGGCATGACATAATTCAAATCATTTTGGTTTACTTTATGGTGAAATAAATGGCAATACACTGAAAGTAATATACTGTTTAATTTATTTTTCTTAATCCAATCCCAGAAATCAAAATAGGACGGGAAATATTTCATACTTCCTACCAAGGGCTTATCTCTAAATGAAATGTTTTTCACAAAACACTCAACAAAAAAGCATGCACACTGCCAGTCTACCAAAGGAATGCTGATCATTGGAGGTTTTTCTACTTAACAAACATTTATTTAATACTCACGTGACCTGATTTCCTTGGTTCAACCAAAGTTACTAAAGATTACTATGGGAAACGTAAATTTCACTCAATTTTTCACTCAAGACCATGTCTGGAAGCATCTTCAGTTGTATATAAATTTAGCGTCCACGTCCCTTTGTGGATGTTCTTTTCCTTCTTTTGGGATTCCCTTTTCGGCACAGTGTACACAGCTCCATTTTAACATCCATTACATTTATTATTTATTATGACTACCAGTTCACCGTTCCTGCTAGGCTATGCACTCACTGATGGCAGGAATGTCATTCCGTATTTGTTTCTTAGTACATAATGCCTAATAAAGTGCCTGGCACACGTAGGAGGTCAAGAAACATTTGGTAAATAAAGTAACTAATTAATTAAATACTCCCAAGAAGCTATGAAAGCTATACCTCAACTACAAAATACAAGATGCTATTATTGAAGATTGGTATATTAATTTAACATTAGGATGGGAAGACTGAGTGAAGTTTAGATTTTTTTGTCCCCTTTGGACTCAATAATATATGGAACTTAATAGTGAAATAAGATAAAAGACTCGACTGGAGATGGGAGAGGAAGGCTCCTCGTGGGGATCTCAGCGCGTGTGTCCGTGGTGCCACCTCAGCGCCGATGTTCTTCCCCAGGAGGATTCAGCTCTGTTGGGAATCTGGGAGTTGGCTAGCATGGAGGAACGAAGTCCCCTTGAATTACTGTCATAGTCCAGCTTTACTCCTTAGTTAAATACAGAAAATTTACCTTTCGAAAGCAAGGAGGGCCCAGATGAAGTAGTTACAAAGCCCTTCCCTATGGGAACTGTTTTCCATAGTGTGTATGCTCGTGACTCTTATTTGTGGAGGCAGATTCTTCCAGGGCCTTAAACTCTTTCCAAATGGAAATCGACTGAAAGTCAACTTCAAGTCTTCTTAGGTCAGGAGAGGTGACTGGCCGACGTGCAGTTTAGTCTAGTACCATCCAATTTATAGTCAAGAGCTGTTTGTTGTTGTTGTTTTTAACATAATCTGACTCCAAAACAAGTTGTGTACATGGGGAGTTCCTCTTCACACATATATACCCCAGTAAAACAAATTAAATATAATATACACAATGGGAAATAAAATCCTGGCATAGGTATCAATGACATGGTTGTTCTCCAGAATGGCTTTACCAACGTCCCCCCCGAGGGATTTTCTTCTCTTTGTGTGAGATGAATCTGCGCTGGGGCTGCCTGTGCATCTTCCTGGCACAGAGTCCTCTTCTGAGTGTAGAGAAAAGGAAGTCTGGTCCACGTCAGTCTCACTGTCCTGGTAACAACCATCGAAGGCCATGGCTTGAACTGCATCAATATTGTACATTCCGGAAACCTAAAGAAAAGATTCTTGTTAGTAAGTCATGAATATGGTTTTATGAGCAGAAATTACAGTAAAAATCGAAACAATCATATTTTAAAAATAGATAATTTCAATAAGTGCTAAGAATGTTTTGCTTAAAGAACAGAAATCTGGTTTTGCTTCTGGTATCTGACTAAACATCATCTTAATAATATATGGAAAACATTATCTTTAGAGATCTGTTTTTAACACAGATTTAGTGAGGTTTGTAATCATTTCCATAGAGATATTTGAGTATTATACAAATAAGTGTTACACAATGGTATTGTCAATGTTTCTCATTTAATCCTGGCCTGATGGACTGTCGCACTCAGTGTGTGTTTCCCCAGAGGGAACACTATTGTGGGTTTTCCCTTGTGTTTCTGAGCAGTATGAATTGTTTGCCATAAGTCTGTGAGTTGAGATTGAATATGATTTATCAGAAGAGCAATATAAACCAGTTGGATTTGTTTTTCAACATACTTTTCCTCTTTAGAGAAAACGTAGCAGTATGCCAGTCACTGTGTTTTTGTCCAAGAACAGAACAATATCATCTGGTGACCCATTTATGCATAAATCTGGGGTGGGGGTACGGAATGATTTTAGCTGCTCTTCTAGAATGCAAATTGCCAAGCCTTCTCATTTTTGCTGAAAACACAGCCCGATCAAACAACTTGAATTTGGCTTATTTTTTGGAAAGAGTGAATTTCGGTGCTTTCCGGCTCCAGTGCCAGATTGAGCCTGAAGTCCGTTCTCCTCTAAGGTTTTAGTCGGAGGGAGGCTGCGGTTCTCACTGGTCCAGAGCCGTGTCTAGGAAGCGGCTGTTACTGGGTGCTTTCTCAGAGCACAAAATCACTTCTTGATCTATAGGGAAGTTAAAAACGAACAAATAGGGACAGGCCACTACTGGGTGAATTTATTCAGAATTCAGAAGACGTGGAGACTATTTTGTGTGGTTAGTAAACTACCCAGAGACCCACACTGAGCTATGTTGTCCCTTTTCATTTTAATTGTAGAAACTTTCCATAATAAAATGAAAATGGACAAAATAAACATGAAATAAATCAAGACGGTAACTAACCTCAGATAGCCAATAATAACATGAATAATACATTCATCTCTGGATCCGAGGGTATAACTAGGGACAGTGGCTCACTAGCCACCCAGAACGCTGCTGCGTCATCACACTGGACATCCACTTTTTTATCCTGATGAAAATGTCTTTAATGTCTTAAAGAAGACGTAATCTTCTTTGAAAAGCAAGGGTGCCATTTTCTTTATCCATGATGATACTTGAGAACTATCTATATGGTTGATCAAATCTTGCAATACACAATTTTACTAGTAGGCTTCTGATTTCCACAAGTTTATAAGTTGGTTGTTTCAATAGAAACAGTTTTAGAACTGGTCTTCAGTTTTTCACTCCAGCCTACAAGTAAGCACATAGCTGAGGCATGTTATATCTCAAATACAGATTTGACTGTTTTGGACTGAGTTCTAAGTCCTGGAATTGGGAAAATATTTGGGTGAAATGATAGGAAAGAAAATAGCCTCCTTTCTCCTTTCTGGGCAAAGGCCACCACCAGGGACACTTTTTCCGAGGCCCTGCTGTTCTCTCAGCTCTTGGTGTCTGCCGGGTGGTTGGGACATGTCTGACGGTAGGAAATGAGCTTTGCCTGACTCCCTGGTTTCACAGGGAGGAACCTAACATTCCTGGCCTTTCTCACTGTCCCCAACCACAACACCTTAGGGGTTTGGAGGAGGAACTGGCATGTGTGACTCAGTCCCTTTTGAGTCCTCCCTTTGAGCTCTGCACTGGAGTCCAGGTTTGTTCTCTGAAATAAGGTAAAAGGAGACTGTCCTTCCAGAGAGGGTCCCAATTGTCTAGCTTCACCAGTGACCAAGAAAGTAAGTACATTTAATTCAGTGATGAAGTGTCAGCCCTCCTGCTCACAGATCTAAGCCACTTTCTCCAAATGGCTTTACCAATAACAAAAGTGACACCATCATATCCATCTGTCTGGCTCTCATCTCTCTCTCTCAAACTGGTTTCCCAACTCAGGTATAGAGGAGAGAGGTACCATTGATTAGCCCCAAACCCACAGACATATCTTTACACCTGCCCCTCACCAGGGCATCCAGTCCCTTTAAAGAGCTCTCATCTTGGACAGCCTGTTCCCACTATCCCTGTGAAAACTCCTGTCCCTTCCGAGCTGATGCTCTGGGTACTAATCACAATAAGAACATAACCTTTGTGTAAGTACTTTATAGTGTGCAAAGTTTCAGACTTATTTATTATATCACTTGATCTGCACAACAGCCGTGTGAGGTAAATAGGGAAGAAATCCCACCATTTTGCAAATGCGGAACGAGGTTTAGGAGAATTAGCCTGGAACACACAGCGAGGAAGTGGCGGCCTGAGGTTTGGCATCACCCCTTCTGACTCCGAATCCTGTGCTCTTTCATTTTGTCCCACAACTCCACGAATCGCAGGTAGAACGTTTCTTCGACATAATTGTAGCTTTGGAGGAGAATGCCTAGAATGGTGGTTTCCAGAGGCTGGGCGAGGGGGAAACGGGAGTTGTTTAATGTGTGCAGAGTTTCAGTTTTGCAAGAGGAAAAAGTTCTGGAGATTGGTTGCACAGTAATGTGAATATACTTAATGGTGCTGAACCGGACACTTGAAAACAGCTAAGACCGTAAGTTTTATGTTATATGTGTTTCACCACAACTACAACAAAAAATAATTTTAAAAATGAATGATGATTGATAACTCCAAAGAATCTCTTCTTAGAGATACACAGAAGACTGTACAATCCCAGTGAATGAAGAAAGAATTGAGATCTGGCGAGCAGGTGTGTAGCGTGGCAGGTGGGGGCAGGAGACATCGAGACTTTGAAGTCAAAGCACTAGGTGGAGGTGGGCCAAAATTATTTCAGAGCCTCTTTCTTAGGTTAACCATTCCACACATAAAAAATGAAACAAAACAAGAACACCAAAATTCTTTCCCTTGTCACACGTTTTTCTCTGTCACCTTTCACTCACAGATTGTCTAGATCTCTGCTGTTCACAGTGTGGGCAGGGGATCGGCAGCATCTGGGGCTTGTTAGCAATGCAGACTCTCGGGTCCCACCCAGATCTGCGGAAAGGAAATCTTAACAAATCCAGGCGATGCACACACACCTTTGCTGCATGCTTGTCTAAAAGCTCCACCTGCATGGCAGTTACTGGGGCTATGTATGTGACAGGGGCACATACTCACATGCTGCCAACCAAACAAATTTAAGTGTCTGCAATAAAGCAAAATCAGATCCTATTTCAGCCTTCACTCAAGGACGTGAAAGAGTGGAGTTCGCATTCCAGATCTGAGTTGCAGGTGCAGCTCTGTTGACTGTGAATCTTTTGGCAAATCACTTTACTTCCCTAAAACTCTGCCTCTGCATCTTAAAAATAGAGATAATAGTGTCTGCAAGGCCTACATCAGGGAGCTGATATGAGGGTTCACTGGGAGAAGAGGATATAAAAATACTCTGAAAAGGATGAAACGTTCGCACCAGAAGTACAAAAAATGTTAAGTAATATTTTGGGTGTGTATAAATGCTCATATAAGAATTTCTTAAACCAATGTGATCGTATGGCATTAAAATTGTGTGTGTGTGTGTGTGTGCATGTGTAGTCTCAAGTGTAGGCTAGCAAACGAATTAATTTGATCAGTTGGGTTTCTGAACCTCTTATGTCGGTTCTCCTAATAGTGGGGCCCTGGTGCTCCAGCCTCTGTGAAGTGGAGCAGTGGAGGTCCGTCTATCCGTATTTATTAAGCAATGTCACCAGAGACATGTGGTAACATTCAGAGCCCAGAAGGCACCTCATTCCCAGTATATATACTGTGGGGAGAAGAGCCTCCCTTTAGGCTTTACCACTGTCCCGAGTGACGAGAAGAGAAAAATCAGTCCTAGCTCTGGGTGGAGAGAAACATATCATGTATTGGTGGAGAGCACAGCCTTTGGAGCAGGAAGACCCAGAAGCAAATCCTGATTCCCCTTGAGCTGCGTGACCTTGACCATCTGCTATTTCACCTCTGTAAAACGAGGGCGGTAAAGTACCGACCTCTTGGGGTTACTTTGAAAATTAAATGACATAATGTACATTAGGTGGTTAGCACAACACCAATACGTAATAAATACTCATTAGATGTTAGCTGTCATCGTCATTGTCATCATCTACTTGAAGCAACCTCTTCTTTTCAAGGGACAGAGCCAATGGGGAGGAGCACTCTGAGAGAAACCCCTCACGCTAGACTCCTAGCAGAGTTGAATGAGGATGCTGAGAAACCAGCCAGCACAGAGCAAGAGAATAAAGTTCAATGTTAAATTGTTACCACCACGTAATCTTGCATCTTGCCAAGGCAAACAGGCTTAATCCAAGGGCCCCAGTGCTGTCAGGAGAGGGACATAGATGAGGACAATCTTTCTCACATTGCAGACGGGACCCGAGGGTCAAAGCAGGGCAGTACCTTCCCTGTCTTCTCGAATCGGTGCTGCTCCTCCACTGTGGTCAGGTAGTTCACAGCTGCGTACTCAATGACTGACAGGAACACAAAGAGGGAGCTGACCCACAGGTACACGTCCACGGCCTTCACGTAGGACACCTGGGGCATGGAGGCACTTACTCCGGAGACGATCGTGGCCATGGTCAGCACCGTGGTGATTCCTGCCATTGGAGAACAGTGATGAGCTCAGTGACGTAACCATTCAGTGCCAGGATCTGGTGCTGGATTACACCAGAGGGCACGTTTCCAGAACAATATCTGGTGATCCAAGCGGGGGAGGAATCCTGCTTGTTAACCTAGTTCACAGCTTGAGCCTAAGCAAGAAGATCTCCTTGGATTTCTCTTCCAGCCTCCTTGTCTTGCCCTCATTCCTGTTGTCCATAATGCTTCCTTCCTCCTTCTAAAGGCTTCACAGAGTCAGACAGGTCTGAGGGACTCAGTGCTTCCTGCCCTCACATGCTCCTCTTCTAACCTTCTCAGAAAGGTAAAACGGACTCAATTTTAAAATATTCTTCTAGGAAAGAAATTCCAAAACCATTTCCACTCCCCTTCCCCATCCTTTCACGACTTTTACTGTTAAGAAATTGTCTTCGTGTCAACCTTTAATCTTCCATCTGTCAGGGACTGGTCTTGAGTAGCATTAAAGAATGATATTCTCCATGTTTTTCTTTCATATGGAATACTTACAAGCCATCATTGTTGCTATTGCTTTGTGCCTTGTTACCGAAACTGCAGTTCAGCTGAGCCTGAGACTGGGCGTGCTAGGGGAGGCTCAGCTCAGTGTCTGTTTACTAAGCAAATGCCAAATGCCAGTTACTGTTTTCCCTATCGGCCTCTCCCTTCCTCCCCCGTCACTCCCTCTCCTCCCCTCCGCGACACTCCTCCCCTCCCCTCCCCCTTTCACCCCTCTTCCCTTCCTCTGGCTTCCCACTGCCATCCTCTTCTCCTTCCTTTTCCTCTTTCTTCTCTTCCTTTCCCTTCTTTATTCTCTGGCATGAGCATCAAGGGTAACGAGATCAGGGTTCTGGGGGACAATGGAGAAAGAAGTGACTCTGAGCTTTCCTTAATAAAATGCTGGTCTTGGGGGGGCTCTTCTGTGTCTACACTAATTTCTCAGAGGGAGGCTGCAAGAGCGCCACCTGGAGAGAAAGTATCATATTGTAAATATTTGAAATGTACACTGGCTGGCACGGATTTATTTCTTAACTTCCCACCAGGGAGGCGCAAATGGAATCCTTAATGATTTTTATAAGTTGTGAGGACATTTTAATGTCAGCAGACAGAGTCTGAGCAGCAGGAAGAGCAGCGTGATTTACTCCTCATAGCTCAGACGCAGAATGTGCACAGGCTTCACCAACACACGTCTGTAATAAGTCTGCAAGGGTCTCCTCTGAGGGAGGCCCGTACCAAAGACAGTCACAACTCTACAGAGCTATTCGATTTTAAATTAAGTTTTTCTGTTTGTAGTTTGTATGATCAAGACCAACACAACTTGGCAATTGGACAGTCGCTGTGGGAGAGCCGGAATCGCATCCTCCCACTGCTTTGGACTGCAGAATAAGAACCCTAATGCTGTTCCAGCTCTCCTCATTAAAGGCAGCCACCATCTCATTGAGTCCCAGGTTCCTCTACAATGTAATGTCAACAATCTGCATATCAGCCAACACTGTTTGCATTCCTTGCTACATAAATATGGAGATGTGAAATTTTTATTAACCTTACAGGTGTGTGTGTAGCTGAAGCCAAGATGATTAAATAAAACTTGCTTTCTTGTGTTGAATGTTTACCCACCACAAACCTAGGTAAATACTATTAGCCACAAGTTGCAGGAAAGAAATATGAGCTGAGAGTAATTGCTCCGAGTTTTGTCAGGAGCAGGAGTGAAACCTTTCTCTCTGAGTATAGGACCCAAGCTGTTTACATGTAAACCTGCTGCCTCTCATTCTGGGCCTGAAAAGAGAATTCCTGTTGTTTTTAAGATTATAAACCAATCTCTGTGTTTGGAGCATCTCTGAGACAAGATGCTAGGAGACTGAGTTTAGAATGATGTCAGGAAGCGTGAAGGGACTTTGTGCTTTTCAACAGGCCAAGAGGCTTGTTCTCTTCAGGATTTCACTCCTAAAACTGAATGCATCTAAACTAACATTCCTACTTAGTAGCTTACTTCATTAGTTTTAAAATTTAAAAGTGTCTTCTCTTAGTGGTTTTTCAAAGATATGGAAGATAGAACTTGATTTTTTTCAACAGACAGTAACATGGGGCTTAATGGACAAAGTAAGGGTTTAGAACAAACACAGGAGTTTACCTGCAGACAGATCCTGTCATGTGTCTTAAATCAAAGGCTGTTGGCCAATAAAAGGAAATTGCATTATCTATATTTGCCAGAGAGCAATAAACTATCAGTCATTTTCCTTAAAAGGGTGCTCACTCCAATTAATTTACTGTAGTTTTATTTTGAAATAAGAATTCTAGATTTTCCTTGTTTAAAATGAGCAATAAAAAAAAAAATAGGGGCTGGCCTGGTGGCATACGGTTAAGTTTGTGCGCTTTGTTTCGGGGGCCTGGGGTTCACAGGTTTGGATCCTGAGCGTGGACCTACACGTCTAGCCATGCTGTGGTGGAGTCCCCCATACAAAATAGAGGAGGACCAGCATAGGTGTTAGCTCAGCAACGATCTTCCTCACCAAAAAATAAAAAGAAAAACAAAATAAAACAGAGAGTGAGAAGGAGGGATTGTTGACTACAGGGAATGAAGGATGAGAAAACTGACACATAAATTCCTAGAACTCAGCATTGAGAGTCAGGAGTCTTAAGACAGCTGCATTAAACACACTCACTATGTCTTGAGCCACCCCTTTGAAATGCACTAATCTTGACAAATTGTCTTCCTTCCAAATCCACTAAGTTAACAACTCAGTAAGGGAGTTGTGAATTATGTGAAATGAACATGTAGTCAAAGGAAGGTCCTGTCTTGGGATTAGAAAATGACTTCCCACCTACTGGCATTGCTGTGCATGGTCAGGAAAGTGTGATGAGACAATAGTTAGTTTGGCCTGGGGACTCAGCTCCCCTGAGCCCCCACAGTCTCACCATATTAACACTCAGGGACATGTGTGAGGTCCTAAGAACACTTCAGTCTGGGGAGAGTTCTTCATCCTGTGTCTCATTGGTCGTCCTGTACATAATGGAGAGGCTTGTCGACCAGTGTGATGGCCCAGGGCATCACTTACAGAACCGTGGAGTCGGTTCCTGCCCTGCAGTAGCCATGTTGTGGGTGGTTCTTTTGAAGGGAGAGGTGTCTACATTCACCTTTAAATGAATAAAACATTTTCCCTGTAGGCCTGGGCAGAAAGAAAATATTAAGTGATGTATGGGAAAGGAAGATAGGCTGGATATCCCAACACTGCTCCACGACCAGAATCCAACAACCATCATCCCACAGAGGTGCGCCAGAGTCCACTACCTAGAAGTTGTGGTAACCTCTCTGATGGTTAAGTGAATTCCTCCTAAGTATTTACTTCTCCAGGTACATGGCATATCCTCCGTTAGACATTTTTCTTTGTGGGTGACTACATGCCTGCAAGCTTGAGTTGCCTTTCTCTGTCACGTGTGTTTCCTGGTAAATGATCCCACTACTAAATACATTGTACATGAATGGCACACCCCATGCAGAAGGACCAAGAGAGATGGAGGCAAGGAAAGAAGAAGGGAGGTAGAAGGGAGAGAAGAAAGCACAACACTCCCCCACCTTCCAGGAGGGTTAACACACCCTTGAGCAGCTTCAGAATAGTCTCGCTCTCTCCACACCAGAACAACAGAAAGATGGAATAGGTTTTGCAGCCCATGACACATTCCAAGTTATGATAGTTATTATCTCAATGAGAATTGCCTAATCGCAATGGATACTTCTGTGCTGATCGGCTTCTATTGTCCTTTATTTGAAACACGACAAATGTGGAAGGGTCTTAACCAGCAATGAATCATCATTGTTTTCAGTTAGTAACTGAAATACAGCTATTAAAAAACTGGTGGGCTAACCACTGGCAATTTAACAACTACTTATTGAGCACAAAATGTGTGCAGGGCACTGTGCTGGTCACTACAGGGGCAAAAATGAGGGTAATAATGATCCTTGTCCGTAAGGAACTCAAATTCTAATAGAGGAGATAGGATAAGCCACCAACGCACCCCACAGCTAAGCTCAAAACAGTGGAAGCGAGAGAGACAACGTGCCATGTGGCTCGAAGACGGGAGAGACCAGGTCTGCCTGGAGCCATCAGTAAAGGCTTCTGGCTGTTGAGAGATGGCCAACGTTTGACTGGAGGGAGGCATTCTAGGCAGAGTGAGAGCCAGAAGAAATGCATGGAGGTGAGGTAAGCAGTTAGGCACGGGGGTCTGTTTGAGAACACTGAATACGCAAATTGGTTGAAACTCAGGGCAAGTATATTGGGGCAGGGGTACGGTTGACGATTTACCAAATAAAAACACAGGACAGTCAGTTACATTTGAATTCCAGATAAACAAGAAGTTCAAGATAAACAAGGAATAATGTCTCAGTATAAGTATGCCCCATGCAGTATTGGGATAATACCTAAAGTAAAGCCTTATTTGGTGCTTATCTAAAATTAAAATATAACCAAGTGTCCTGTATTTCATCTGACAGCCCTCAGGGGACCCCTCGGAATCCAAACTGATAGCGTTTACTCCAATGGCATTCGAGGTGAGGGCACCGTGATTGCGTTTTAGGGACATTACTCTGGTGGCAGAGCTGAACCGGGGCAAGAAGAACGGGAGGTGAAATGAGCAATTGCGAGCCCTCCTTAAGCCCAGGCTAGAGCTTTGCGCAGTAAGTAAAAGGCAGCCTCTCTCTAGAGGATGTTACCCCAAACCATGTCCCATGGAGCTGGGGCTGCATTTCTGCTCCCATCCCCCCGCCCCAGGTCTGATGTCACAAAGCCTTGCAGGATGGCCTGGGCACATAGGGGTCTATTTGGGCAGCCCAGGGGAAGGTTAACAAGGGCCCCACACTGGTCAAGGCAGAGGAATGGAGAATCCAGGATAAGCATCTCTGAGGACTTTTTATTGAGAAGGCTGACTCTCAGAGTTAGATACCTTACAGCTGCCATTCTCTGAGGGTGCTCAGTGGATCCCTTGGGGTCTCCAAGACATTTTCAAAGGGTCTGTGTAGTGAAATGAGTTTGTTAACAATACTAAGACATTATTAACCTTTTTCACTATGTTGACACTGCACTGATGGGCATAAAGCACTGGTGGGAAGAAGTGCTCTTGCCCCAGCTGGACCAGGGCAGCAGCGGCCAGCTGACCCGTGCGTGGTCCCTGTGTTCCTCAGCTCCCACACTCATCATAAAGAAAATTGGTAAAAATTAATTGTATTAAATTACAGCTCTTGAGTGTTAACGCCCTTGAAACACTGTGGTTGGTGAGGTGAGAAGGATGTGGAAAGCACTTCCGCGCCTGCAAGTACAACGCTGTCCTGAGGAAAAGTGCTCCAGCAGCTGGGTCCTGAGCTGACAGCCGGACGTTTTTAACTAGAACACCACTTTCCCTCAGAAGAACAGCTGACAGCAAACCACGGTTGTTCGACTTGGGTATTTGGCAGACATATTCTCAAAACTTGGTGAAGTAGACCTACCACTTCAAGGAAAATAAGTAATGGTATTTCTTGACAAATGATAAAATTTGAGCTTTCAAGCCCAAACTAGGTGTTGTTAAATTTGTATCCATTAGTATGAGCTTGAGAGCTTCCCAATGCTCAAACACTCTGTGATGAGATTAATGGTGATATTGATGAATGGGATTATTTAGATATTGTGTAATCAATTATGTAAACATTTGTAAGATCTGTATAACTTGGTGCATCGATATTTTCAAATGACGAATGCACGGTAAAAAGATCTAGTCAGTGTCAGATAGATCAACAGATTTTAATCAAATAGAGTAAAAAAATTCACTGGTATCATTTTAGATTCCACATTGCAACTAACCTTTAAGAAGCTGTTACTTGCTGAGGTTTGGGGCAACATCAAAGAAATCTATGCACAATTATCTGGAAAGACTATCAAAATACGACTCTTTCTCCAACTGCATATCTGAGCGATGCCAGATATTTTCCTATATTTCAACTAAAACCAAGTGCAACAGATTGAACGAAGGACCAGAGATGAGAATCCAGTTGCCTTTTATAAAGCCAGACATTAAAGGTTTGCAAAAATGGGTAAAACAGTGCCACTTTTCCTACCAAATTTTTTTGGCTTAGAAAAAAAATTACTTTTTCATGCAATATGTTATGTTAACTTGTAATGAGTTTATTATTGCTATTTTTAAGTGGATTAATACGTATTTTTAAAAATTCTGTTTTAATATCCACCCTGGCTAGTAATGATAGATGTAACCTACAAAAACAAAAGCTCTCTGAGTCCTTAATAATTTTTAAGAGCGTACGTGGGTCCTAAGACCAGAGTTTGATAACCACTGGCAGGGACTAAGGAGGGAACTGAAGGCTCAAATTGAAAGCCTCAATGGATTGGGGGCCTTAACAGAATGAGGAAAGTCCAGAGAATAAGTGGGATCTGAGTGTGGGGGGAATAGCAGTCGGCTCGGTTTGGTTTGGAACACGTCCAGTGCCTGGAGTGCCTGCAGGCGAAATCCAGCAGCAGCTGGGAACACCATCGGGACTTGAGACCAAGATTTGAGATAAGGGCACAGATTTGGGATTTACTTTCATAGGGACAGTCATTGGAAGCAAGGAGCTTGTTCCAGTTGTTGAGAGAAACAAAACTGAGCAAAGCTTTGGGAGGGAATTACCCAGACTTAAGGAGCAAAAGGAAGAAGTAAAAAGTGGGAAAGAGAAATGAAAGAAAAGTCTAAAGGAAGAGAAAAACCAGACTAGTGCAGAGCAATGAAGATGAATTTATTGTTTGATTGGTTTTATCAAACCCTGTGGGCCAGGCATCAGCCTAGGCAGTTGACATGCATGCTCCCATTTCATGCTCACAGCCACCTCAGGAGGTAAAGATGAGGCTGGGCCCTTGACCACTGCACTGCTCCTGGATTTGGAGAGGATGCTTAATAATGTCCAAGCTTCAGAGGAAGTGAAGGAGGGGAACAACTGAGAAAAGACAAGTGGGACAGACAGATGGATAGTCAGAGGGGCCCTCTGGAGAATCAGGTAGACAGCATTTGGGAAGAGCCAGAAAAGCAGAGGGCAAAGCATCTTTGAAAGAACTGGAGGGTGGTAGGAAGCTGTGTTATAGGAATACTGCAGGTCTCTTTACTAAAAAGGGGCAGAGGGGCCAGCCCTGTGGCCCAGTGGTTAAGTTTGCACACTCTGCTTCAGCACCTGGGGTTTGCCAGGTTTGGATCCTGGGCTCAGACCTACACACGGCCCGTCAAGCTGTGCTGCAGCAGCATCCCACACAGAAGAACTAGTATGACCTACAGCTAGGATATACAACTATGTACTGAGGTTTTGGGGAGGAAAAAAAAAGAGGAAGATTGGCAACAGATGTTAGCTCAGGGCCAATCTTACTCACACACACACACAAAAAACCCAAAAAGGGCAGCACATCTTTAAAAAAATAAAATAAAAACAATAAAAAGGAGGGGAGAGGGACACTTCTGGTTTGTCTATTTTATATAAATCTGGATAGTGATTTCCTAACCCAGAGGGATCAGATGTAGATGCAAGAAGCACATAATTTCAGGGGCAACTTCAATGCATTTCAGTGTTCTGCATTCATCCCACCTGCCCTGGAACCAGCTTTCACTGCTGTCATTTTCAAAGTGTAAGAGCTGAGCAGTCAGCTTCGGGAGTCCTACTGAAAATCATGTTCATAAACCTTTAGAGACAGAATGTCTTTCTCATCCTGTCTCGAGAGCTGGAAACGTGTCGTTGCTGTCCCATCCGGGTCGACGCTGCCCCATGGCCTCACTGAGGTCAGCCCAAGGCTGCTCTGACACAAAGGAACAGCCACAATAATTTAATTACTAATTCAGATGGTATTTTTTCCCTTGAAGATACTCAAGCCTCAAATGCTTTTAGATTGAAGCTTTTAATAGGGGAAGGGGGGCGAGGAATTATTAATATTAATGACAAATTATGTCTTTCAAATGATTTTTTGAAGTATGCATACAATTTGTGAACATTAACTTAGAAATCACCCTTTCTGGAATGAATTGGGTGATAATTATAATGATTGTGAACCACTTAAAACAATCTTCTCTCTGGATAGAGAGTTACAGGTGAAAGAGCATCAGCCAAAATGAGGGAGTTCTGCCCTGTACCAGCCCAGAGGGCAAGTGAGGTTGACTCCTGAGTCCTCGTCAAGTAGCATGTTATCTAAACGCCTGGCTTGGCCCCTTCCACTCTGCAAGGACTCAATAACTGCTGAGTGGGTCTGAAATGGTTCCCACAAACCGGTATGTATGACAGTGGCGTATAACATGCTAGGTGAAGTAGATAATCACACTGGTGTGGTGACTGAATGAGGCTGGCAATGTCTCCCCACTTGAAATCTCTTGCCAACTAAAATGCCACAATACCTAAAATTCCACTGCGGTTGATTCCAATTTTGGAGTTTAGGTTAAAGCTCCTATTTCTAATTAGCACTAATGTTTCCAAATTCAAGCATCCCACACTAAAGTAATTTATTAAGATACAGACAGGATAGCGTGAATTAGCTTGAAGGTTCTTTCTTCTAGGATGCAAAGGTTTGTGATGCAAAATGAAATGGACCTGGGCAAGGGAAGCGGAGTTTCCGCAAAAGGGAGAAGAGACGGATTCGTAAGGTGAGGCTGTTCACGCTTCATAATTTCATCCTCCCTCCTTATTATCACCCAGGCGTTGGTCAGTCAGTGTGGCCTTCATACCTAAGCTCTGGGGTCCCGAGGCAAAAGTGCAATTGTAATTTGCCCTGGAGGCTGTCAAGATGCGAACCGTGACCTGAGTGCACATCTCCGAGCATCCCCACTAAACCATCATTCTCTTTTCCTCTCCACTTATCACCTTCTTATTTACCTTCCGCCACGACCTGTCTCCTTATTAGCATTTCACAAAGGCGTGGGAAGACTTACCCAGGGAAACTCTCGCAGGAACAGCTCTTCGGTCAATCCAAAATGACACCCACGAAAGCATTACCATCAACACAGCCGGGAAATAGGTTTGCAGCATGAAGAAGAAAATATGCCTCCTCAGCACAAAGTTGATGAAAAGCCTATTGTACCAACCTGTGAGGAAAAGCCGAAGTTTTTATTAGAACAGGCTCCTTCGTGGAAATAAGACACTCAGTGAACTGCGAGCTCCTTGGGGACGTGGACTCAACATGCTCCCCTCGCTTGCCCAGCACTAGCACAGGGCCTGGGCCTGGCGCTCCATCAGTGTTTCCTGAACTAACTTCACTGCAGGCTGCTCAGTGATGTGCGTCAGAGATCCCCCTTCCGTTTCATACCTGCTGTTCAGGAATGAATGGTAATTATATTTTGTGGGATGGCCTTTAAAGAACTTTCTCCAAAATATACTGTGTTTGCAGCATTTCTGCAAGTGGGCAAGTGTGCAAAACCTGGCTAACGACCACATGCAATAGTCAATAAACCGTTTACTAGCTATAAGGAGTGACCTGAGACATTTCCTCTAGAGGAAAAGACTCATAGTAGTTACTACATCAGTGGATCCCAGGTTGGGCTCGAGACAGGTAGGGATTCCCAGACAGGTGGAAGGAAGGCGTATTGGTAGACTGTTTTACTATTTTTATCATTTCAGGGTGTCAGGACACCATATATTTATCTGTGATAAATCTGCAAAAACATAACCAAATACAGGGACTGTAGGTTAAAAATTGTAACAAAGTCATAGGCGTTGCAAAGTTGGAGAACCCTTCTGCTAGTCTCAGTAGTAGTTTCTTAGAAGACCCGAGATGGCAAACTGATGAGACGGGTGAGGTCAACGTTCAGGCCGCCAGCCCAAGACCTAGGCCTGGCAGCCCCCGCTGACTGTTCTGTTCTCCTGTAAGTGCCTTCTCTTCCCTCCCTGCTCTGAGGTCTCTCTCACCATAAGCTGACATGCGTTCCAGGAATATCAAATAATTTCCTTACCAAGGGTAATAGAAGATACATAGTGTATTCTAAAGTCAAAACAGACATTATTTTTTAAGCTACTCATTGTCTTGTATTACTCATATCACAGCCTCGCATTTTACTGTGTGCAATTGAGAGTTTTGATTACAGCTGTAGTGGGATAACCATAACTCCCATGTTATAGATTTATATAATTATTGTGAGATTAAAAGAGACAAGGAAGAGCTGTGAAAGTACTTCATAAAGAAAGACACTGTTAATGAATGTGGTTTTAAGTCTTAAAATAAATTTAGATAATAGGGTCCTTTCTCTACTCACAATTTTCTGAACAACAATTTATTTATTTATTCATTTGGCAACCAAGCAGGACACATGCTGCACTGTCTGTGGTTCTCCGGGGAAGGGGAGCCAAGGGGCGGTACTGTGGTTGAAGCTGTGGGTCCGGAAGAGCTCCCTTTACCAACGAGGAAGGATGGCGCTGCCTGAGAGGTAAGGAGCCCTCACCTTGGATATCGTAACAAAGTGCCTGACTCCTTTTTTGACATTTGACTGCTGATAGCTCTCCAGCCCCTCCTTTGGCACTCAAGCAAAATTCAAACCATGCACTCTTTGCCGTGTGCAAGGGAACCCTCACGCCAGCCCCACACTGCCACCACCGTAAACCCTCAAGCCAGTCGCCTCTCCCTGTTCTCTCAAGCCATTTTCAGACCTGCTTGAGAGCCCGTCCTGCTCTCTCTTGAAAACCTCATTATGTGAGTAATAAGACTCTTTCTACCCTTTTGCTAAGTGTGTGGAGTCATTGTTTTTCACATCTGAAACAAATTTTGGGTGTAAGGGTCTATCCACCTCCTTCAGGTTGCCACACAGTAGAAAGAAGGTGAGTTTATGAAAGAGAGAAAAGGGCTGGAGAGTTGGAAGCCATGAAAATAGGAGAGAGGGGCAGAAATTGGGGAGTCAGTCCCAAGACAAGATTCAAGGAGGTCTTTTTTTTTGAGGAAGATTAGCCCTGAGCTAACATCTGTCGTCAATCCTCCTCTTTTTGCTGAGGAAGGCTGGCCCTGAGCTAACATCCATGCCCATCATCCTCTGCTTTGTATGTGGGATGCCTAGCACAGCATGGCTTGCCAAGTGGTGCCATGTCCGCACCCGGGATCTGAACTGGCAAATCCCGGGCTGCCGAAGCAGAACATGCGAACTTAACCGCTGTGCCACCAGGCTTGCCTTCAAGAAGGTTTTTACACCTGGAGACTGTCACCTTCAATGGCCTGTTGATGCTAAGGCTCATTCTGTGTTGAAAGGATCAAGATGACCATGTTGATGAAAATGGTGAGGATGACAGCTGCTAGCTAGTATTTATTGAGCACTTCCCGCAGGGCAGACAGTTTTCCAAGTGATTTAAACATAGTAAATCATGTATCCTCACAACCGTGTGAGGTAGAGAGTATTATGAAACCAATTTAAAGATGAGGGAATTGAGGCTTAGAGAAGGAGTCAACTTGTCCAAGGTGGCATTTCCAAGTGGTAGAGCCAGTACAGGCCGTCTCTCTACAGAAATTATGCTTTCAGCCTCTGCGTTATGCTTCGATAGAGAGTAATTGTTCAGCGCATTCCTCAGGGGCGGGAGTCGTCTCTTTTTCCTTTGTAAATCTAGCACGGTGCATGAGTTCCAGGGGCACTGAAGGGGGTGTGGGGACAGCAGCCCTCACCTGCTTGTTCACACTGACGGGCAGTGGGGAAGGCAGTTCAGCTATAAAGTGGAAACTCAGCTCTACAACCATAACCGTCCTCTGGCTCCTTAAAATTTTAATTGATTGTGGATCACTATCCCATACTGCACAAACCATGTATATTTGAACCTAATTTTTTTTAGAAACCAAAATGCTATTTCTTAAAAATGTAACTACACTGGAAAGTCTAGAAGTTTTACTGCATTTCTGAGCAGTAAGTTTTTCAACTCAAGTATTTTGTCTGGCTTTAGATAGACTCTAAAACATGACCAGAAGAAGATAAAAATCAACCAGTGTTGGCCCAGCATGGTAGGGCTCAAAAGGGCCGACAAGCACAAATAAAGAGACAGCAGAGCCAATGCAATGGCTTAGGGGGGAAGCTGGAATTTGGAAGTGAAATTTAACCTCTTCTTTTTAAGAGGATAGCTGGATGTATATTAATGGATACCTGTGCTTCAAAACCTGAAGAAATGTCATTGCTACTATCATTATATATGCTGTATATGTTCTGTGCAGGAAACAATACTCTTGGATTTCTTCATATGCTTGGATACGCGTCATATGAATTACATTTTAATAGCGTCAAACATTAGAAAGTCCTATTCACAATTTATCATGTGCCAAAGGTATTTCATCATCATAATAATAAAGTGAAAAAAACTATAAATTTATATTTTAATATGTATCATTGTTTACTGCATGCATTCCTTTATTTAAACATTAATTTAAATTAGCACTGAGAATGAAAAATCCTAACAAAAACATATCTATAATTATTTATAGACAAAAAGACAAAAAGAGAAAAGACGAAGAATGAGGAAGAGAAAATATATAAAAATAACAACATAGTTTATCTCCATGAAGTAGGCTTACAAGGTTTTTTTCTTTAAATTTTTCTGAATTCTTTTCAAATTATCCACCATTTATTCATTCATTCAACAATTAGCTATTGGGCATCTACTATATGCCAGAGATAAACCAATGATCAAAACAAAATAAATATGTGTTATATTTAAAATCAGAAAAGGCAATAAGCATTATTACAATTCATAGCATCATCTGTTGAACCCCAAGCAATGTAAACAAATAATGGAGTAAAATAGAGCATCTCTTCTGGATCTAAAGAGCTAAACAGCTATTGGTCTTAGAAAGCCGTTTAGCTTCTCCTGATGAAAAGTTTGGTTTCTCTGTTAATGATGAAGGCTTATAGATAACAACTGATAGCTTCTCTCCAAGGTCCAAGGGCGGAGAAGAGCGCCTCTGGGGAGGAAAGTCTCCATTGTCAAAGCAGAGGAGGTGAAAGGACTCTAGCCAGGGCGGCGCTGACCCTCAGGGCAGCTGGTGGCACACTTTCTGCCCTGAGTGTGGCTTCAAGAAGCTAAAATGGTATTTTCATGGGTTCTGCCTGAAGTGACCCAGAATGCTAACAATCAGGGAAGAGGAGGCTACTTCTAACTTTAGGGAATGGGGATCAAGTATAATTTTAGAAAGTGTCTTGGATAAATGTCGCCAAACCAATAACAGATCTGTTATAGCAAAGAGTATACAATACAGGCCCAATTTTGAACAGATTTTCTTTCTTTCTTTTTTTTTGAGGAAGATTAGCCCAGAGCTAACATCTGCCGCCAATCCTCCTCTTTTTGCTGAGGAAGGCTGGCCCTGAGCTAACATCCGTGCCCATCTTCCTCTACTTTATATGTGGGACGCCTGCCACAGCATGGCTTGCCAAGTGGTGCTATGTCACACCCGGGATCCGAACCGGCGAACCCCGGGTCACTGAAGTGGAATGTGCGAACTTAACCACTGTGCCACCGGGCTGGCCCTCTTTCTTCCTTTTTTTTAATGTTAATTTTTTTAAAATCTCTTGAGTTCTCATTCTTTTTTTTTAAAGTTCTTTTTTTTTAAAGATTGGCACCTGAGCTAACATCTGCTGCCGATACTCTTTTTTTTCCTTCTTCTTCTCCCCAAAGCCCCCCAGTACATAATTGTATATCCTAGCCCTGACTGTCTCTGGTTCTGCTATGTGGGATGCTGCCTCAGCATGGCTTGACCAGCGGTGCCATGTCTGTGCCCAGGATCCGAACCTGCATAACCCTGGGCCACCAAAGTGGAGCACGCAAACGTAACCACTGGGCCACCAGGTGGCCCCAGGACAGATTTTCTATTTGGGGCAACGGCGCACTTGATTGATTTCTTCAGCTGAGATTTATTGAGCGTCTACCGTGTGCCAGGCACATTCCAGGTGCTGGGGAAGAAATGGTGAACAAGGCAGACAGTCCCTGACTTCTTTCTAGTCAGGCACTCAGACAATAAAGCGGCCAAGTAAATATGTGCTTCACGTGGTGGTGAGTGCTCTGCAGACAAATACAGAGGGGGAGTGTTTGGAGGGCGGTCTACGGAGAAAGGACGGTTAGAGAGGCAAGGCTTCCGGGGAGGTGGTATCTGAACAGAGCCCTGAATGAAATGAGTAGCGGGTCCTGAGAAGGTCCAGGCGGAGGGAGGAGCAGGCCCAGCAGAAGCCCTGCAGGTGGAACGAGGTGGGGGTGTTTGACTACAAGCAAGAGGCCAGGCGGGGAGAGCAGGATGTGGAGGAGAGGCGGGATCAAGGGGGAGCTCAGAGGGAGATCATGCAGTCCTGGGAGGTCCTGTTGAGACGCTGGAATTTTATAGTAAGTGTGATGGAAAAGCACTGGAGGGTTTTCAGCAGGAAAGAACTGTGCTATTTCTGTTTTCAAAGGTTCACTCTCTCTGCTATTTTGAGTGTGCAGGACCAAGCACGGAAGCAAGGCATCTAGTTGGAGGTGTCTAAATAGAGGAAAGGAATGGTGCATTGGAAATGCACCTTAAAAGGAGGAGGATCTTCTTGACCTAATGGGACAATTGTTTGGATCCAGGTCTCTTCACATGTTGTGGTGCTTTGCACACAGTAGATGCTTAATAAAAGCTGATGACTTGTCCACATAAAATAGCATACCTGTGCTGCTATAGAAGGCGAATCCACTGGATGCACTGAACTCCTCCACGAAGAACTGAGAAAGGGAGATGTGCTCGTCCGTGTTTAGGGACTTGTTTCCGTGTTTCCAGTAGAGCATTAGGTCCTCCTCATTGTAGGCATCTACAACGAGGAAACAGTGTTCTCGTAACTGCAGGCTCCATGAGCTCTATACCCACGTTTTATAAGGCTCTGTCCCCAGTGCTGTGTCCAATGACCTGTGTAAACTAGATGAGGAAAAATATGTTTGCTAATGGACTGATAATGCCCACGTGTTCAAAAAGAAGAAATTTCCAAAGATCAGACCCCGATGACTGGTACAGTGTGCAGGCTTTTCTTGTGCCCACATGGTTGTTCCCATATCTGTGTGCACTGAGGGATGTCACAGCCTCACAGTGACAGGCCTGACCCGGGTCTTAAGACCCCTTTAGTTTGTAGCTCTCTTGGATGAAATTCCAAAGCGAGCCAAGCTTATAAAGACTTTTCTTCAGAAACCAAACAGTGTTACAGAAAGTCTCTAAGGGACTTGGGAGGAGCAGCTGTGTGGGAGCTACCCAGTGGGCATCCCAGCGTTTTACCCCCATTATGAAAAACTGCCGTCAGCTTCTAAGATGTCATGTCAAAAACAGCTGATGGGTCAAAGTAGTTGACAGGGAGCTGGCTCAGATACCCTTCTCCAGGGCTTTGAACTGGGGTCTCTGTCTACAGCGGGGTTTTTCTGGGAATGCAAGTCCACTTAGTGGAAGATTGTGATTCATGCAGGAACACGAATTCCCGAGCTTTCCAAATTTGGGGAGTCTGTGTCAGTCTACGTTAATAATGTTACCAAGAATACACCTTTTTAGGGAGCTGTTCCTTTATAACCGTGTGGAAACTGTAGAATGTGTGATTATCAAAGTGTTTTTTCCCTGAATTTTTTTGTTATTTGAGAGACAATCTGCCACTATCCTTAGGAGAAAAAAATCCAACTGTTCTAGGTAAAGAGGTCTAACTTATATCAAGATTTTTACATGCGAGCGTGTGACGGTGTGTTCAGATCACGTGTACTCGCTCCATCAGGAAGCAGGACTTACAGCTTTCCAGTTCAAGGGAGCAGTTTTGAGTGTCAAGAGGAAACCTGCCAAAATCCATAAAGCACATCGCAGAAACAGTTATCCTGTCAAAAGAACGAGAAAAAGAAAACTGCAGATCATTTAACCATATGGCCAAGGAGCACGCAACACTGAAGCTCTCCTCCCCTTTGCCCTTTGTGAGCCTTTCGGGAATAATGCAAAACACACGTCACCCCCACCATCTCCTATGCAAATGAGGTCAGGGAAGCAAAGCCAGGAAGGTGAGTGACTTGCTGAAGACAGAGTTAATGAGTGAATTGCTGTTCGAATAACGCTTCTGGCCTCCCCATTTCCTGGCCAGCCCCCTCTATATTTTCTGGCTCTGATGTCTTAAAAAAAACCCACACTTCAAAGTGAGAAGACTTTTAAATAGGTTTAAATATTTTCTGCTTTTTGGAAGAGGCAAACTTAAACAGTTTCTAGTAATAAAGGCTGGAATGGTGGTAATAAAACCTATGGGTAAAAAGCAAGTTTACCTGAGGAAGTTCTCTTTCCGGGAGTGCGGGAAAAGCCCAGAGCATTTTCAGTTATAGATTTATGTGCACAATGCATAATTCAGGTGTTATTAAGTTGAGAAGCTTGCATATTGATGAGGATGCTGTTTTCAAATTTTATGTCCTCCTAGATGTTCCCAGCTTCAGGCAGAGGCTGCTGTGTTATGATGCTGCCTCAAAGTACAGACTCTGGTACCCGCCATAGCAGATCAGAGGTTCATAAAAGGCCCCTGAGCAAGTCTGCAAATGACAAAGGCAGCAGCTGCTCCTGCCCACGGCGCCCCCAAGCTAACCAGAGAAGTGGAAGCACTTCATCTCCTGTGGGTGGAACTCTACCGTCCACAGTCTTCTCCATCAATAGACAGCCAAGCCAGGGAGGGGTCTGCATGACTGCGTCACGAAACAAACTCATTTTGGCATATTCCTAGTACTTTAAAGCTGGGGGGACCTCTGAGGTCTTTGAGTCTATCTCCTTCATAGACACATGAATAAATTAATGACCAAGGAGGTTAGGTGGGTGGTGGTAAAGAAAAAATTATTCATGACACCTGTTAAAGAATAGTAAGGAAGACTTTATGCAGGGGGCTACTGTAATGGGTTTTTTCAGAAGGGAGAGAGATCGGGCTCAACTCCAAACATAACAAGGAAAAGTGGGATTTACAGCCAAGGAGCAGGGTTGCGGTGGTCAGTGGAGGGAAAATTACTCAGAGGAAACTGCAGGAGTAAGAGGGGATGCTGGCTAAATGCACGTCACAGGGCTCTTGCTGAGGCAGCTGGGGTGATGAGACATCACCTGGGGTGGGGGAGATGGGGAGCTTGATCAGATGTGGAGGGTGATCAGAGACAGAGGATGGGGCACTCACAGAACTCATCCGAGCTGTTATACGTGCAGGTACAGTTTATTGCGAGGGAAGGATACAAATGAAAACCAGCAATGGGAAAGGAACACAGGGCAGGTCCTGGAGAGACAGGAACAGGTTCCCACTTGTCCTGCTCCAGTGGAGTGCTATGGACAGTGCTTGATTCTCCCAGGAACAGCGTGTGACAACACCCGTCGGGTACTGCCAACCAGGGAAGCTACCAAGACTTGGGGTCCAAAATATTTATTGAGGGTTGGTCACTGAGGTCTGGCTGACCTTAGTCTCCATCTCCTCCGAGGCCCAGCTGACACCCGGCTCAAGGCCCCCACCATGGATCCCATTGTTAGCTTGACTCTGGGTGTGGCCCAAGGCCGCCATAAACAAAGACGCTCTTATCAGGCAGGACATTCCAAGGGCTTGGAGGTTACCTCCCAGGAGCCTGGCACGGGCCAAGTCTGTCTTTGGAATGTGCAGGGTAAGGACAATCCACTGAGTTAATTCTTTAGAGGACATCCCCTCATCAAAATACGTAATTTAAAACAGTAGATTCCTTGGCCAGGTGTCTCCGTTCTGCTCCTGATTCCTGGAGAGGCTTGACTCCAGTGAGGCCTATGTTACTCCAGGTGTAAAGGTCCTGTTGAAGGTAGTACTTTCCTTTAACTGTGTTTTTTATGGACGGCCTCTATGAAATGTGTGGGGGTTGCACCTCTGTACTAAATGAGCAAGATGTTTTTAATGAACCAAAAGAACCATATTCGAATCCTAATTGGATTATTAGCTAATAACTAACAAATTACTGCAACCTTGGTGACGTAAAACAACGGAAATGTATTCTCTCCCAGTTCCGGAGGCCGGAAGTGTGAAGCTGTAACACTGGGCTGAAACCGCAGTGTCGGAGAGGCCCTGATCCCTCCCGAGGCTCTGGGGGAAACTCATTGCCTGCCTCTTAGAGCTTCTGGCAGCGGCCAGCATTCCTAGGCTGGCGGCTTCAATGCTCCAAGCTCTGACTTCATGGTCCATTACCTTCTACTCTGTGTGTGTGTCACATCTGCCTCTGCCTTTCTCTTGAGAGGATACTTATGATTGCATTTAGGTCCCAACCAGATAATCCAGGACATTTTCCCCATCTCAAGACACTTGACTTAATCACATCTACAAAGATCCTTCTTTTTTTTGTTTTTTTTTTTGCCAGATAAGATAACCTTCGCAAGCTCCAGGGAGTAG